TAAAGTTAGTAAGTAAAGGGGTAGGAGTGGACCTAGGTGGAATAGTGTCAGCAGATGCGTGAATTATTTAATATGTAAATTGGTGTTTTGTATAACTAGAATAAATAGGTGTTATTTTGCAAAACGTTACACTCCTGAAGATGACGCAAGATATACGTCGAAACATGTAGAGTGTATGAGATTGTTTTCCAGTCACGTCGAGATTTTTACCACTTTTTAACCTTGTACAGTAAGTTATTATGTTAATAATTTGGAGACTGGAAACAATATCATTTTATTGAATTGTGTATAAAATAATCGTTGTTTTTAAATACATATTTTTAGTTTTTAAAAATTGAACATTACACACGTGCCAAAAAAATACTGAAAAAAAAACTTTTATGAAGTTAAAATTCGCAGACCTGTGTAATTTGTGTGCTGTTGTGTTCACAAATAATCTGTCATATGGTTTCACGGACATTCCCGTCCTGTATATCTACATGTTACAACAGAAGTTATAGATGACACCTCAGAAGATTAAGACTGAGTACGTTGATGGAATATACGTGTAACTCTGTAAAACTTAAAAACATTTTCAGAGTATTATTCAAGATAAATGCAGTATAAAGGTAATGTTTACTGTATTTGTTCTGTTAAATGTATTGAGCACGTTTAATTCAAATTATTGGAATCCCAGTTAGATACTTCACCCACCTTATACTACTGAATCCCCTTAATGTATAAGTTCTAATACGTTTCATAAGGGAAACATAAAACTTAAAAAAATATAATGAATTTACACAAGTCACTTATTTTAAATCTTCTGTAAGTCCTTTAAATACCAGCCAGCAATTTAACGAATGCATTAAAGACAGATTTGATAGTTTAGTGGAACTTTATTTTGAAGTATAACCTTTCACGTCTTTTAACAATCAAAATTAACGGAAGTTTTATGTAAGTTGTTTCATCAGAAAACACAACACTTAACCAATAATAATTCAAATCTACAGAAAGCTAAAAAAGAAAAGGCACCAAAAGTGACTTGTTTACATAGGAAATTGTTTTAAGCCTGTATCCAAATTTGTTTTTCGGGAGTATTATTTCGGGTTGTTTTTCTATTTGAAAAGCACCTGACTATTGCGAAGCTAGTAATAAATAATACTTCATTTGATTTAATTTTTTGTTTTAGTTAACATTTCTCACCGAGGAAATGAACTTCCAGCTGTTTCTTTAGAATCAAGGTTTCAAAATCTCTTGAGTTTATAGGGCATTTTCTCACAATTGCAATAGTATTCAATACTAAAACAAATACAATTTTTTTTAGGATATCATACACATACAAACATTATTAACCACATTATCATACGTTAGGTTAATATCACTTTCTAAAACATATAAATGAGTTATTTCCACGTCAAATCAGGCTTCCTACGATGTTAAAAAGATAGTTGATTTTTCCACAGGAGTTTTCAGAAAACTTGCACTTGATTTTCGAAAACATCTTGAAGAGTATTCGGAACGAAATATCTCTTAACCAGATTCTTAGAACTCTGAATATTTGGCATTTCAGGATTTCATCCTGAACACATGATCCAACCCTGATGACCACCTGTCTACAACTCTCAATATTGGACATTAAGAATATCATCTTATTAAACGAATGAGTCGAAATGAATACGTTAATGGAACATGTGTAACCGTGTGAATTTAATAGATAGATGTGCATTATACTTCTTGGTGTTCTGTTTACACAATTATGAACAAATTGTTACAATGAGTAACAGAAATCAACAAGCATGATGGCTTTTGGAAAAAGTTGGTGATTCATGTTAGAGAGATCACTTATTTGTAGCATATCAATGTCTTCATTATATATTCAGCGCCACCTATTCAGTAGCAAAGTATTATAACTTGTTCTTCATTAAAATGTTTCATGTAAAACAAATCAAAGTTTGGTTACCAATTAATGTAACTAAATAAAAACACTAAATCATTTGATAATTTGTTTTAGCTTCATGCGAACTATTGGGTTCTCTTACTCTCACGTCCCAGAACGATACACTTTCGTAAGGAAATTTAAACTGCAAACTCGTGTTCGAAACTAGTGATTGGTCGGTCCATGACTTCCAAGTTCGTGTCTAAAACTAGTGATTGGTCAGGCCCTGATTTCTAAACTTGTATCTGAAACTAGTGATTGATTAGTCCCCGATTTCCAAACCCGTGTCTGAAACTAGTGATTGGTCGGTTTTTGACTTCCAAGCTCGCGTCTAAAACTAGTGATTCATTAGTCCCTGATTTCCAAACCCGTGTCTGAAACTAGTGATTAGTCGGTTTTGACTTCCAAATTCGTGTCTGAAATTAATGATTGATTAGTCCCTGATTTCCAGGCTCTCATCTAAAACTAGTGATTGGTCAGTTTTTGACTTCCGAACTCGTGTCTGAAATTAGTGATTGATTAGTCCCTGATTTCCAAACTCGTTTCTGAAACTAGTGATTGGTCAGTTCCCGACTTTCAAGCTCGTATCTGACACTAGTGTTTAATTAGTTTCCGAATTCTATCTGTACTCTGGTGTAAATCTTTGTTTCTTATTTGTCTGACCTAAGGCATAATTTCATGTTATTAACTGCGAAGATGCCCTACATAACATTTCATTAATTGTTAGCAACAAAAAGTAGGTATTACCTGTATATCCAGTTCTAGTTACAGGAAGTCCTGTCACATGATTTGATCTTGTGTTGTAGCGCTTTTCCTACACTCTGCCACTGTTTGTCCTAAGAATTACGCTTTGTCGAATGACATACTAATTATTTGACTAATTCTAAGAATTCATGCCTGACAGAATCCAGGCCATAGCTTTGTAATATGTACTCGTAGTTTCAAGTGGTTCATTTCTTGTTTCACACTTAGACAGGCTGTTATTAACCAACCTCATCAAATAGGTTTCATCTAAATTTTAGATAAACAAAAAGCTGCTGACATAAAACTATGACCGCGAAAAAAGTGTGCATTTGTTAGGGCTGCTAAGGTCAATCATTAGAGGATGCTAGTTCATAAAATGTTTAATAATATACAACGTTTAACTAACTACCTTGAACTATAATGCCTCAAGTACGTAATAAGGAGATTATGAAGTCTTATAGTACGTTTTAGGTGTTTCTCGCGAAAAAGCTGGTGAAGATAGTATAAATGTCCTGACTTGAGGTAAACTAACGTTTTATCACCTTTACTGCACAATCCACCCAAACTCATACTTAAAAAGCTGACTACATTCAAGATGAATTTTCGACTAAATTGATTTCAGTATTTCAATTACTGTGGATCCTCTGGTGAGTGATTAATGTATTATACTTCTAATTATAAAATATGACGAGAAAGTGAAAACGTTACTTATAATTTTTGCTTATTATTTAAATAAATATAATTAATTAAATATCATACACTGTTAAAACGGGACGACATAAGCATGTTTATAATAATGTTTTTGTTTAAGCATAAAACGACACAATGGGCTTGTGTTGTGGCTACCGCGAGTATCCAACCTCAATTTTTAGCGTTATAAGCTTTCAGGATTAATTAATTTTTACAGATTACAAATAAAAATCGTCTTTATCCACTCAATTTAAAGGATTAGGCTCCAGTTAAATATATATACACATATTAGCAACTTGCCTGATAAGTGAACTATAGATACAGAGAAAGTTTTGCAATACTCGTGTCACTTCAAGACCAAAAATTATTCAAATCATACTGCTAAAACTAGCAAATCAGTCCGTTAGAACGGGAGGGATATACCTATAACTCGGCAGTTTAAAACTCGTAACGACACGGAAAAAATATACGAAGTTTGTCTTTTTGTGACAAATATAGAAAAATTCTCTATTCAATACCGCATAGCAAGTGCAATAAAGGCAGGATAATTAAACTTTACAAACTGTTATTATTACAGATATTAAAATAGCAAACGTGTGTATTTTTTTTTCAAGTAAAGAATATTTTAGGGTTCTTCTATGTTAAAAGCACATTTTTTTTTTAGAATTATTTTGCAAAATATTTAACCACTTTAACATACATGCAATAAAATGGTCCACGTTGTGAACCAGATATACGTCTGGGAAATGACCATCTCCAATAATCCATGCTTGTTAAATCAGTTTAATATTAATGTAAAAAAAAGAAAAACGTTCTTCTTTCTGTTGTGATATTATAATAATTCTGTTATCAGCTAATTTATAATAAAGATGTTTGGATCCTAATACGCCCTACATCTGGTTAATTCTACATTTTTTTTATTTGTCAATAGAGGGCGAAACAAATTAATGGAGTTATTTCGAATCTGTATATTATTTATGATTCGGTATACAAATGAGTATTATAGAACAAGGAGGGATTACTAGTATTGTATACACTCAATAAATCTGGAAAAAAAAGACAAGTTCGCTTCTTTTTTATTTTTTATTCTTCTTTACAGAAAGGAAGTCCATCTATATAATTAACATTTCAGTATTTTACAATCACATCGAAAAACAAACCTCAACTCATTAGAATTTTTAAAACATTACCATACATTTATAATGGTTGGAGACGGCTTGAATGGGTAATGAAGAAAAAATTTGATGTAAGTTTAACACAACAGCAAATGTACAACGTTTCGACAAGGTTTTTGTCATCATCATTTGGATCACCCCAGAAAATATTGGGGAAGGGGGAAGAGAATGGAATTATTCTAGAACACATTTCCTTTAAAACGTGCTCTCCTCGTGGTGATAAGAATATGAAACGATGTTTCATATAAATGAATAACAGCACCTAATTACGAGCTTTTCGGGCCTTATGGGTAAGCTTTAAATCTTCTAAGAGCAAGATTCTATTTCACGCGCTAAAACAACGAAACTAGGAATGCGTTTGATTACTTTAATGGTAGCTCCCACCCCTCTACAGATTAGTTAGTCAGTAACCCAAGTTCGCTATTGTAATGTTAGTCTCTACGACGTTAAAAACAACGATAATCCTATATCTTCCCATCAAAATTATTTTGTTATAATCGTGTTTTTTCATTTTTTTAGTTATCGCTAGACTTATCTAAAAGACTCATATTCAGACACCATCAGTTTTCAGAACACATTTTTATAAATCATTTGTACTCCAATTCGAATAACACAAAAAATACCATCAATATTGTAATATCCTGCTAATTACTGCTGGGTTTACCTAGGTATTTTAGTTAAAAAAACGACTGATTTCACCCAATTTTGTTCGGCCATTTATTTACATAAAATTACTCAGTATCATAAAATGTAGTATATGAACTCTACCAGTAGTGAACAGTATGAAAACAAGTCGGTAACTTAAGAATACTTCATAAGAAAAAAAAAAAAAACAGTACAAGAACACGCTTTCTGGTTATGTCTACTACGCCATCTCGTGATAACTAGCTAAACTTAAATACGACCTTTGTGAAAATGTTAATATGTTTCTTATTGAACTGAAAAGCGACGGTGACTTTCCTAACAATACATACATATCGATACTTACACGCCACCTCGTGGTTATGAAGTAAACCTAAATAAACACGACTTATATGAGTATGTTATTATGTTTCTCATTCTAGCAAACATGGTAAGTGAAAAGCGACAGTCAAGTGCCTAACAATACATATTGGTACCAGCACGTACATAACTTTCATTGCACAATACACAGGGTAATAAAATGAGTTACACACCATTAACTACGTTGTTCAACTATCAACTTAAATGTAACACAGAAGCTATATCATTACTCATATTTAATTATACATAAAAGTCACTATAAATCATCATGGAGGATAATAACACGAGCGTATCTAGGATTTTTGGTAAGGGTGATGAAACCTTGGAAATAATTCGCGTTATTAGGGTTAAGGGTGCCTTTTGTTTGGTAGTCCATCGGGAAGTGGTGGGTAATATCTCAACCCTCCCTTTGTATCCGCCATTGCTATAGACTTTGAAAAATCGAAGCAACGAGTACGATGTGAACAGTAAGCCTACATGCTGTATTCGAATTTCACTAATTTCCTAATACAGCATTTGCAATATTCAACGCTTCTAATTAGTTAACCGGGTTACCATGTAATAATTGCATATTTCATACAATGAATACTTAATATATTTAATTTGATTACATACACTTACACATACGAATAATTTCTATTTTCCTAGACTGTTAACACACGTAAAACACCGCAACTATAGAACAGTAGTGTGTTCTGTTGATATAAACTCATCTTGGAAATTACAAACACTAAGACTATATCATTTACACAAAAATCCGACAACTAATCCTATTTGCCGAAACGTGCGTATTTTTGTCTGTATAAATTATCTTGCGGAGCCGTTAAATCGCACGTTTTGTAAAAATCTTTGCTGCCGTTCCTTGTTTGTTAAACTTTCACAGAGTACAAATTCAATTTTTGTCTCTCGCAAAAAGGATTTGAACTCGGAACCGCTTACAGTGCAAGCGAGTGCTCTACCAGCTGAGCTAAGAGTTAACGTACTAGCACCTGCTAGTAAGGCAAGTGCAAGCGAGTGCTCTACCAGCTGAGCTAAGAGTTAACGCACTAGCACCTGCTAGTAAGGCAGTTTTCAAAACTATAAAACTGATAATAATTACAAATCACTTGCTTAATCTGGTTCACACCTTAACACTTGTAAAAACGGATGACATATGTATACCACTATTATGTCTGTCGTATCACAGCCGGCCTGACGAGGCCCGGTATTGGGCAAAAGGCCTCGTAGGCACTGGATATGGGGGGATGTAGTGTGGTTGACACATCAGAACATATCGTTAGGTTGCACTCATGGTTTCTTAGAATTAATTACTATAATATCACACTCTCACAAACAGAGACAATCTTCGGGCCTTATTTCAGGGGGTTATAACCGCCAAACGATGGGCGCCAGGTTTTCTTTAGTAATCCCAATTTTAAATCTTCTAGGCCATGCAAATCCTGTACCAACAAAACTAAGGGATTAACCCGCTTGTTGATGCCGGTAAGTCATAGTTCGAAACCTTTTAACTGCTACAAAAACAAACACTGAAGTTTGACTTCATATTACACGAATACAGGGTTGAACGTGTTATATTAAAATGTTACGTGACAACCACAGCCGATATAAAGTCGCGGTAAAACGGATGTATTAGAACTACATTTAACACTGTTTGGCGATGCATGGTAGTTTGATGCCACTGAAAATTGATCGCTTTTTCGACGAAAAAAATATATAATGATACACTAAGTTCAGGGTTATCAGGTCAGGGCTTTAGAATTTCAAAGATGAACATACCATTTAATAATGGCATTGGAAAATGAAATAATATGGATCAACTTTGGGTACCAGGACTATCCAAAAAAAGCCCCGAAACATATTATATTGCAGCTATGGTAAGCAAAGTGCAGCGTCTTGTATTAGATGAGAGTCCACGAACAGAAAAGTCAGAGGCAAAAGCCTTCCACATGCCCCAGGAAAAAATACACAACATAATCAAGAAGGATTTCTGATTGGAAAAACGACAAAGGTCCAGTTAAACCATCGCGTACCTCAAGTAGCTGGAGAATGAAACAAGTATTCATACTATTCTATTTGAAGACATACGGTCGACAAATGTTAGGCCTATGGATTTCTGTGTGATCGAACTGTTGTAACGGGAGCTGTAAATTTCGTTTGAATTTCGCGCAAAGCCACGCGAAGGCTATCTGCGCTAGCTGTCCTTAATTTAGCAGTGATAGAGTAGAGCAGGGGTCACCAACCCTTTTGGGACAAGGGCCGGGAGGTATAGGCTTCGCGGGCCGGAGGGGTCGTGGTAAAATTAAGTAGGGATGCATACATGATCAGATTGGCTTTTGCTCAATTATGTTTTATTTTTGTTTTTATAATATTAAAATATTATATTATTACTTTAATAAACTATTGACGGGCCGGATGCGGCCTGTAGTTTGGGGACCCCTGGACTAGAGGGAAGACAGTTAGTCAACAACACCCATCGGCAACTCTTGGGATTTTCTTTTACCAATGAATAATGAGATCGACCATCACTATATAACGCTCCCACGACTGAAAGGGCGAGGATGTTCGGTGACGGGGATTCGAACCCGCGACCCCGGTGCTGTAAAAACGTCATTCTCATACATTATTAGATATATTATGGAAAGCTCAAGAAAAGTGTACACTGTACTTAACAGCCAGCCATTTTATATATGCACGTGCGTAAGGTGAAGTACTACCGGATGTGTTGGTATGTATGGATTGTAATTTTACACAATATGGTGAAGCTTCAAAATCTTCTTCATATAACACACCTGACCTTTATATGAATTACACTCTGTAAGTAGAATGTTCCCGACCTTTATATGAATTACACTCTGTAAGTAGAATGTTCCCGACCTTTATATGAATTACACTCTGTAAGTAGAATGTTTCTTTGTGAATTTCTGTTCTCAATAGCTACTAGTTTCTGTTGGTTTAAAAATATTCAGGAAAGAATTGTTAAGGTTGTTCTTTTTTACATTTTTGTTTTCATTTGAAGATCTGTTCATGTTTTACTCTTGCCTTCCGCTTTGGATGATGGGATACATTTGACTATAGTACAAGCTAACAGTTCCGGTTTGTTTGTTTGTTTGAAGTTAAGTACAAAGCTACACAATGGGCTATCTGTGCTCTGCCCACTATGGGTATCGAAACCCGGTTTCTAGCGTTGTAAGTCCGCAGACGTGCCGCTGTGCCACTGAAGGGCATACAGTGCCGGAGTTAACAACAGGGTTATCACTTCACAAAGTCCACTAATAAAGCTGTGTGCCAGCGGGGGGGATTACGGGGGACTAGTTCCCAAAACACAATTTAAAAATAAAAGCTCCAATTAGGTGTCTGTTGTTATAAATAATAGTCAAAACAAAATAAATACTAGTTGTTTGGAATAGCGCGAGGCCCCGAGTATGCAGTTCTCTAGCTTACGCTTGGAGCCACCACTGCCAACTCAGTTTCAGTAACAATTAGGTTTGATGCTCCTTCGTTCATTTCGTACGATATAAACACCTTTTAAACATCAGTAATCTCGGAAATTTTCACTATGTTTGCCTTGCTATGTGTCTTACTCTTCTTCCCGAACAATCCACCAAGAAAGCTCTGCTGATTGGTAGACTTTCCACTCTGTGTTGCTTGTGTGACAGTAGTTTCTAAAACGTTCCTAATCTCACAGGTCCCGCTGCAAGACACTGCTTGAGACGAGGAATCCTGACTTTCGGTGCTCGTTGCTGACGACTGAAAGGATACCGACTGAAGAAAACAAAAGGTGGTTAGGTTTTTTTTTGTTGTTGTTTTTGTAATAAACGCAATACTACAGTACAGTAAATATTTGGAAAATGAACTAATTATTAATATGTTTGCATAAGAACATAATTTCAACAAAATACAAATTAAAAAAGAAAATTAAATATTTATAATTTTCAATAAAAAACTTAAATAACTTTGTTTTACTTTTCACAGCAGTACAGCAGGTTTCAAACCACAAAATATCTCTATTTTATACCTTTTTTTGTGTGGAAAATTGTTGTTTTTTATTACTTTTAGGATACAAGTACAAACTTTTTAAAAAATAATTATATATATATATATACCTTTCAGGTGAAGTATTTCACGGTTTAAGTAGTTTCAAAATGTTTGCTCAGTATTTGAGATTTAAGTATTATTAGGACATTAACCAAACGTATGATCATGAAGTATTTTGACTACCGTATTTTGAATCCCCGTCACACCAAACATGCTCGCCCTTTCAGCCGTGGGGGCGTTATAAGTGACGGTC